GGCTGGGAAGGTCACGGGGATGCTGCGGCCGGTGCGGGGCGGGCGGCGATCGCCATGGAAACCCCCTGTCTCTGGAGAGGGCTTCACCCATTACGGGGCTTGCGGGGCTCTGCTGTCCGCTCCCCTCTTCTGCTCCGGTTCTGGGTTTTGACCGGTTGGTAGGACTCTTCCCTGGGGTTTTCGGCCTGCTCGAAACCTTTGGCACTGTGGAGGGTTTCCAGCTTACCGGTTCACGAATAGCAGGAACATCTCAGTGTAAACGTAAAAGAGGTTGTCTGGCCTGGCTTTGGTCAGATTTCTGCCCAGCAGTCTGCATTCTGGAGGTCTGCAGACCTGCGTTGCTGGTTAATAGTGATGACAGCCTTTATTTTTTTAGGCAGCTTTATTGACTTTGACAAGGAACCGAGGTGCTGCCACCTATGCCCAGACACTCCATAATATCCCTGAGACCCAGGTCACCACTCTAGACAACGGTCTCCGAGTAGCTTCAGAGGAGTCCAATCAGCCAACGTGTACGGTAAGTTTAAGACAGGTTAAGGGCTTACTTGAAGCGGTCAGCCTTGCCTTGTTTGTAGCTGGTCTTCCAAAAAGGACAAACCCCCAGTAGAACTGAAGCTTTTGACAGAAAACCTACCAGTTCTCTTTGTTCACTGATGGAATTAATGTAACAGTAGAAGGCCTAGCCTGGCTTTGTATGAGTCTGTAGTAGAGCGATCATGCTTTACAAGTTTTCTCAGCCTTACTATTTTTGTGTAAACATTAAGTGACAAGTAGTAGTTATACATCTGGAAAAACTAGCAAAGGCTTTTGCAAAGCTGCTGGATAAAAAGCCAAAATGTGTATGGGAAACAGCTGCTTGTGCTTGCTCTTATCTTGGTGCTACTAGTGCAGTGTCTGTGGAGCAGCCTTCTTGTCCCTGCTGTTACATTTGTGGCATGAGGCTTAAGCATGCTGTTTGTTTTCTTTTTTCAATATGTGTACTTGATGCTTTTGCTATTAGGTGGGTGTGTGGATCAGGGTGGGGAGCCGCCATGAAAACAAGAAGAACAATGGAGCCGGTTACTTCCTGGAACATCTGGCCTTTAAGGTAAGGAGGTATGGTAGGTCTGGTACAGGACTGTGTGGAGAGCTGTTCTAAATATTCATTTCTATATCGCACTCTCACTTCAAAGGTTGTAGCTGTTAAAAGATAGTGTAAATCAGGTCATCTGAGTCCTGGAGTCCTTGCACATAGTATAAAAATAAACTTCAGAGTGTACCTAGCCTGTATAGTGCACTTTGAATATGTGGCAACTTGCAAGCATGCACAAATTAAGGCAACTCTCACTTTCTGTTTGGTATTTCTCTTCTTAAAGGAAAAAAGGGTGTCAGTAACAAGTGAGACTGAGTCTTTGATGCTGTGGTTCCAATTCCTGAGCCACTGTGTAGCACACTTACAAGACTATATTATGAAGCATGTTTCTTCAGGTTAACAGGCAGACCTCAAAGCAGCATTTCTTATAACCATTTATTTTTCTTTGTTTTTCTTAGTGGACCGGCAAAGTTTAGAGGCCCTTACTTTTATAGCAGTGTGTCTGCTGAACAGCCCTAGGGCAGAAGGCATCTAAGCCTGGGACTTGTTGACTTGAGTCCAGCCTGTGCTATTGTAGGCAACGCAGCATCTGACTTGCTCCTTAAGAGATGAGCTCTGTTGTAAAAGTAGTTTTCTACCCCTGTTCTGGCTGCTTCTGAATATTGCTGATTGGATAGCTAGAAACCTCTTATTTTTGATTTAGGCTTGTTCTTGGTTTACTTCCCTGAATATGATTGTCAGACACTGTTGTCTCTTAGCAGAGGTCTTCTCCTTCTCTGCTGAGTTCTTATTTGTATTTCAAAATACACCTCAACCATCCTTTAGCTAGAATAAACAAGCCAAGTTTTAAATCTCTTGCTTCTTGCACTTGCTCCTGGCTTTTATGAATCATGTGACAGGCTTTATTGTTTTAGGTTTTTATTGTTCTTTTCCTTACTTTTGCTCTGCCTGAGAGGGAAATCTGTTCATAATTGTGTTTATCTGTTTTCTTTTAGGGCACAAAGAAGCGCCCTTGCGCTGACTTTGAGAAGGAGGTGGAGAGTATGGGTGCTCACCTAAATGGGTACACCTCACGTGAACAAACTGCCTATTACATAAAAGCCTTGTCCAAGGACATGCCCAAAGGTAAGATGGCCAGTGGACAAAGTCTGATTTGGAGGTTAAGCAAGTGCATGTGCTTGTGTTTCTCTCCCATCAGCATCCTTTCTAGCGACAGACCAGGGCATGAAGTTGTAGCTGAGCAGTAAATTGGAGGTTCTAGTTGGTAGTTGGGAGATCACTGCTATGACGTGGTGCTTCAAGGCTGCAAGTTCCTGTGTTCCTAAAACCAGTTTTGGAAAGCTCTTGTTCTGTCAGGCTTCACCATATTGCCGAGAGGGAGGGGGGCATTCAGTAGTCTGTGGTTGTTTCATGGAGCTGAGAAACTGAGGTCAGTGACAGCTACTGTGTCAGGATCTCAGTGCTGCTCTTGTGGGTGTTGCTTGTGCTCTGTACTGCCATGTGCAGACCCCTCTTTGTCCAGAGGTGGTGATTTGAGTCAGAGCTCTGGGCCCTACTGTAGATGTGGGCTACACAGTAGATGTTGCAAGCTTTCTGTAAGGAATCGGCATTTCTGCAGCAGTACTCTGCTTCTGACATGCTTCACCTTCTGCAGTTGTTGCCTGCTTTCCCTTGGCACTGATGAGCTGGCAGTTATGCTTGGCAAGCTGACTTGGAGACTTCATGCTAAACTAGTGTTGTTTGTCCCTCCTTGATGCTGTGGGGACAGATCATACTCTATTATGTTGCACCCCCTTCCCAGTGTGACTTGTTGATCTCTCCTCTCGTGGTGTCCCTGCTGCTGGTGTGTTTTCTCCATTCAGCAGCACTGGGTAGCAGTCAGGCAGTGGGTTTGCTAACATAGGAAATATGTTGCAGTTGTAGAACTTCTGGCTGACATTGTGCAGAACTGTGCACTGGAGGAGTCTCAGATCGAGAAGGAACGTGGTGTCATCCTTCAAGAGTTGAAAGAAATCGACAGCAACTTGACAGATGTTACCTTTGATTACCTTCACGCCACTGCTTACCAGGGAACTGCGCTGGCCCACACTGTCGAGGGGACCACAGAAAACATCAAGTGAGCAGCAGGCTGGATGTGGTACACAGCCCCTGGGTTCAGTCCTTGGGGTGCAGGACTGCTGCTTCTCAGTAGTGGTGACTGCATGAGGAAACCAGTCTGTACACAGAGGTGATCTGTGCCCGTGGGCTTCTCATTGTGTCTTGACTGGATTTTCCCCGTTCGCACTGGTGAAAGTGTAATGCTGCACACATTCTTCAGAATCCCCCTCACAGAAGACATGTGGTTGGTAGGACCAGGCTGAGCCTTCTCCCATACTTGTCAGTTTGACACCATTAGAGAAATAAAGAGTGAGGTGTGCTCATTAAAGCAGTGGCCTTGAGCGTACACACCTGTTATAGGGTACTGGTAGCACAGTGACCAGGGTCAGGACTTTCTAGTCTATATTGAAATCTATCCTTAACTCTCCATCTTGGCCCTGGTTTCTGTTATCTGTGTTCTGAAACTAGAGCACAGGGAAAACACAGACAGTGCATTCTTGCTTCTGAAAAGTATTGTTACCCCACAACTAAGAGAATCAACAACATCACTGCCATCTCTGTGCTGTGAACTTGCTTCTCTTAAGTCTGTCATCCCTCCAGCTCAGAGATGCTAATATACTGGGTCTCTCTGTGTTCTTTCTAGGCATATGACTCGAGCAGATCTAGCTTCATACGTTGATACTCACTTCAAGGCACCTCGTATGGTCCTGGCAGCTGCTGGAGGTAAGTTTTAGATTCTTGTGATTCTGGGAAGCCTGTGTATTTTCAAGCTGGTGATCAAACTCCTGTCATGCATCTTTAATGTAAAATCAGATTATTTTGTTAAATTAAGCTGTCTAAGACTGCAAATCTCTCCCTTTTCCATTGCCAGGTATTTCCCACAAAGAGCTGGTAGATGTAGCTAAGCAACACTTCAGTGGAGTGCCTTTTGCATACAAAGAGGATGCTGTGCCTGTCCTCTCACGCTGTCGCTTCACAGGGAGTGAGGTAAAGTTGTTTTGGTCCCAAACAAAACAAGCAGCTGTTGCCAAACTGTTGCGTGAATGTAAAACCAGTTATAGCTGCTTCTGAGAGGGAAAATCTGTTTGTATATCTCAGAGAAGCTGATGATGCAGCATCTTGGCAGTGCCCCCGTGTTCTGTTCTTGGAACTTACTGCCACAACGTGTTGGGTTTTAGATAGGACCCAAATCCTTTAGGAATGTGAGGCTGTTGCTCACATCATCTGCTGGAAAACTTGTATCAGAGCAGCTGGTTTGTTCTCAGTAGTGCCTGAGGCTATTTCATTTCACTGGGGTAATATCAGGTCCCCCAGTTTGTCAGCCTGGCATTGCAGCAGGCTTCTGACAGAGCCACAGCACTCATGCAGTTCTCCCCCGTTCCTTGATGATTTTCTAGATCCGTGCCAGGGATGATGGTCTGCCTGTTGCCCATATTGCTCTTGCCGTAGAGGGGCCGGGATGGGCTGATCCAGACAATGTTGTCCTCAATGTGGCTAATGCTATCATTGGACGCTACGACCGCACTTTTGGAGGTGGTAAGGTAAGAGGCTTGGGAGTATGATAAGGAGAGCCTGGAGCCTTTTAATAAGTAGTATGGAGACACTGGGTGAATGTGCTTTATGGGAGGCTTTCGTGGTTAACTTCCAACTGTGAAGTGGTTAGGAGTCTTGAAAGTAGGATAGAAGTGTAATCGAGGCTAATCCAGGACAGTTCTTGAGAGGTGATGCTGGGAGATGAACTGAGCCTTCTCTGCTAAGTTTGGAAGAGGTTTAGCTTACGAATTCTCAGCAGCTTGTTCCTGCCCTCACAAACTAACCACTCAGTGGGGGTGGTGAGGGAAGCAGGACAGAGTAGTCTATAGTCTCATGATGCAACCTTGCCTTACAACTGCAAAGCAAGTGGAACTTGTTAAAAATGTAAGTATTGCATCCATTTTTGTCTGGAATCTGTCTGGCCTGCATAAATGTGCTAACCCCTGCTACTGGGAGACCTTGCAAGTCCTGTTTTCTCCCACTCTACAGCGGTATGCATACCAGCTCCTCATCTGCAGCTGGGAAAGGAAATGGTTTTGCTGGATGGACTCTTAGGCCATTGTCTGTGGCTTTTCCACCAGTGAATCTCATCTGTTGACCACATGAAGGGTCTAAATTAAGCTCTCCTTCAGCAAAGTGTTCCATTCTGTCTTGTTTGTGGTCTTTGTGAAAACAGCTCAGTTGGAAAGAATTTGAGTTGTGAGGAAGCTGTAAGACTGAAATGGCTGACAGTATCTACTTATTTACAGAATCAGTCCAGCAGGCTGGCTACTCTTGCTGTAGAGCATAATCTCTGCCACAGTTTCCAGACGTTCAACACCTCTTACTCTGATACGGGCCTGTTTGGTTTCCATTTTGTTTCCGATCCTCTGTCCATAGATGATATGATGTATTGTGCTCAGGGGGAGTGGTAAGTACATCCTTGGCAAAAGTTCCTGCTTAAAATCTGACCCTCTTGTGGAAGATTGAGCTGGTGGGGGGAAGCATTTTAGGTCTTTGGAGAGCTGTGTCTCTTTATGAACTTCTCGGTAACTAGTGTTTTGGTTAAGTGATCCTGTAAGTGGTTTCTGCAAATGTCTTAGGATGTGGCTTTTGAGGAGCTATTTTAATCCCTTAGGGCTCTTCAGGTCTTTTATTCGGGTTTCCAAGTATTAGCACTGAGGCTTTGTTATTTTTCATATGCAAGTGAGATCATACCTTAGAGACAAGGCTTTCCCAGATGCCCAAGAGACACATCTCTATTATCTTGTTAAGCCTGAGCAAAGCAGGCAGAGTTCCTGCCTTTCAGACTGTTGTTTTGTGGCTGATAAATGCCCCACTGATGGAGTCATGTCAGTGTTTGGGAGCCTTTCTCTGTCTGTCTTGTTGTATATGTGTGTATCCCAGTAATGGTCCGAGGCTATATCTGAGATGCTGAACTGTGCTGTGTATGGAGCAGATGGAGTTAGCCCTTGCCCCAGAGACGTTGCAGTTGGCAGAGCAGGAAGGGATTTAGCAGCTGGAGTCCAAACAGACTCTGTGGAACTGTCTTGTTCTTTCAGCATCAGTTCCCATAGCAGCTTGCCATGCGTGGGAATAGCTGACATGCCTTCCTTCTCTTGTGATAGTGTACCACAGACCACTTGCTGCTGTGCCTGATGGGCAAGCTGAAGCCAGCACCAGGGCTGCCTAGACCTTTGTGAGTGTAACTCAGCGTGTAACCTGTTAGCTGATAGCCCCTGCCTGTAAGCTTGATCTCTTGCCTTCTGCTGTTCAGCGCTCCCTAGTTCTTAGCTGCTCTGTGGTGACCAAGAACGAATCTCAAGCCTGCAAGACAAGTGATGTTGATAATAGCTTATTTCTGCAGAGGCTTAGGAAAGGGAGGAATTTTGAGCCAGACAAACATCTTTAAGAGCTTTAGTGGTCTTTCCATCTCCTCTCCAGGATGCGTCTGTGCACTAGTACCACAGAGTCAGAAGTGAAGAGAGCCAAGAACTATCTCCGAAATGCCATGGTGGCTCAGCTGGATGGTATGTTCTGGTTTATGGTTTGGCCACTGTGCAGCTTTCAGAAGGTTACTCCTTATGTCTCCTGGGGAGCAGGAGCTCTGCTAGACATTGCAGTACTGCTGGCAGGCACTGGGCAGAACTTCCTTTCCCCTCTTCTGTGTTCTTTCTGCCATATTGTCAAAGCAGCTGACCCCAGCCTGCTGTGCTCCAGGCTAGCTCTCACTCTTAAGCTTCTAGTTGTTCTGTTGCTGAGTGAATAATGTGCTGCCTGGTGAACTTAGAATTGAGACCCTCAAACTGGTCTGCCTTGGCTGTAACACTCCGGAGGCTGGTGAAACAATCTCTCTATTGCTTAACTCCTGCTAGAGCTGCTTAAAGTGGTAACTATGACTGGTACTTCGTTAGAAGCTGGTTTAATGGCTAGAGTTTCTTTGATCTGCTTTGATGATCAGGCTGTGCAATTCTGGAAGGCTTTCTCCTATGCTGACCATGTGATGTCTTCAACATCTAGGTACTACACCAGTGTGTGAGAATATTGGAAGCCATCTCTTAAACTATGGACGCCGTATCCCTCTGGAGGAATGGGATGCCAGGATTGCTGTAAGTATCCATTTGTTTTGGTTGGGGTGCCTGAGTGTGGTTGGTGTTAGTGTTTTCTGGCTTTAGTTTGCTGCAGTAACATGAGGTTTACTTATCCCTTAGTCAAGCTGCCTGGAGTCCGGGCGGACTGACACTGATATAAATGTGTCAGAATGTCTGGCATAGACTCAGTGTATCATGTGTCCCTGTGGTGGGATTTAGTCTATCCCAGAAAGAGGGCACATGCCTGTGTGAAGCAGCACAACTGAAAATTCCTTTGTTTCCCTAGAGGTGCCGGCACCTAGTTTGTATAATTCTGCAGCCACTCTGTCCCTTGGAAGGCTTCAGATTTTGGACTGCCATGTCTTCTGTACCCTCAGAAGAATGTGCTGTGTAGAACATTAGCCATCTTTGCAGACAAGAGCTGGACAGTTGGTGCGGATGGCCCCCAAGGGTCTGACAATATTTTAATGATCTTAATATGTAATGGCAACAGTAATTTCCAACTTTGAGAAATGCAGATCTGCTAGAAGGGTCATTAATTGCTTGTTTGGTATTTATTAGGCTGTTGATGCAAGAATGGTGAGAGAGGTCTGCAGTAAATACATTTATGACAAATGCCCAGCAATTGCAGCAGTTGGTAAGTAGTACGTGGCAATTAGTAGCTCAAAACACAGGAAGGGGTCAAGAGCTGAGTGGAGATGAGCTGCAGGCAGTTTTCATGTGTCTGTTCTGGGCTCCTAACCACTCTGGTTCTTGTCTGGTATCCTACCTCTGCACATTAGATGTGCCAAGGCATATTTGCCAGGAGATCAGACCTGCAGGTGATGGAGACGTGGTGGCAGTGAGCTGCTGGCTGTCCTCCCATCTCTACTTGCTGTTGAGTCGTGACTAAGACTGGGAGTCCCATAGCTGGGTGTAGGCCCAGTGGCGTCTGCCAGGTGTCCTTACCCTGGGGTCATGGTGGTTTATGTAAGGGAAGTGAAGGGACCTGTGCTGCTCTGGCATGTCTGTCTGGCCAAAGACAAATTCCTCCCCAAAAACCTGCCTGAGCAGCTCAGCTCTGCTCTGCTGTCTCCTTCCTGCATGTTGTGGATTCCCCTCCTCCTTGCAGCTGTTTCCTCTGGCCTTCAAAGTGGAGCAGCTTGGAAATGGTTTTTGAACAGGAAATTGGAACAAACTAGCCAAAATCCCTGTGAATTGGTGGCTCCCTATATTTCATACCTGTATGTGGAGCTGTACTAAGCATTGTGGAGCAGTGCAAGAAAACAGCTTACTCTGAGGAAATAAATAATGGTTTTTCTGTCAGGAGATGGTATCTGCTGGTTTTCCCGATGCAGGTTTGAGCTGTAGTTGTGTGGGTTTGTGCACAGCTGCTTTGGATTGTGAGTACAGTCTGCTCATTCACCATCTGCTTAAGACCATGGGAAACTGCAGAGGGATTTTAAGCACGTCTCCAGTGACTAACTCTTCGTTTGTTCACTCAGGTCCCATTGAACAGCTCTTGGATTACAACCGCATCCGCAGTGCCATGTACTGGATCCGTTTTTAGGACATGTCCCTGCAGGTTGGAAATAATGAACCTGTGGACTGTGACAGGTTGCCTCTGGCTCTGAATGTCTTGTGCACCAGGGGCAAGATGAGTCCCATCAAAATGGCTGACTTCTCGATGTTAAATGTATAAAAAAATAAATATATCTTATATGGAGTTCGTTCTGCTGGGAGCTGACCATGTCTTGCTGGGTTGTGTGTGTAGACATGGTTAATCTTGCCAAATTTGTGAGATATTGGACCAATCAATCTTGATTTGTCAGAGCTCATGCTAGAATCTTGCCTCTGTGTGTGTCTGTAGCCCTACCTCCTCTGTCCTGAGGTGGCAGTGCCTGGTTCAGAGGTCTTGTCTTTAGGCTGGTTGAAGGAAGTCTTTCCACCAGTACGAGGCTGCCAGGGTAGCTCTGGCTATTTCTGCTGTGTCCTTCTGTGCAGGCAGCAGCGTGATCAAGCCCAGGCTGTAGCAGTGCTGTTTGTGCAGACCTGAGAACCAAGGGCCCTTGTCTGGGGGCACCTCTGTGCTCTCATGCTCATCAAGGAGATTGAAGTGTATCTATGGAAGGTTGGTCCTCTTCCTGTGCTTGGGGCATGGCGTGGGTGTTTCTGGCCTGGCTGCTTGTGGCCCTCTTGTTGGAGTGACCACCTCTGCGGCAGGGACAGTTTGTGCAACCCCTCTCTCCCTAATCCCTTATAGACAAAACTGGTGGGCTGCGCTCCCACCACCTTTGGAAGCTGGTGAAGGTGATCAGCCTGGCCTTGCCCAATGCTCGGTGTGATTGAGGCAGTTGTCTCTAGCAGAGTTGGGGTGGTGTGAAGAGCTGGAGCTGTCGCTAGACAGATATCTTTCCAGAGCCCATACTGGGATATGTTACTTCTCATCTTGAGCTTCCCAGTTACCTGTAAACAAGCTCAACAATGAGCAGAGATTGCTGTGGAGCATGTTGGTGTTGGAAGCTCATCTGCAAGACAGACCATCTATCCAGTCTGAGCTATGTAATAGCTGAGAAGCTGCTGACTGACGTATAGAGTGACCTGGCCTATACCTGCAAGATAATCTCTAGGTCTGAATAGTTGAAAGAACTACCCAGCCCTTTCTGCTTTTTCTGGTGTTAATTTGGTTGTTGCTCCCTTGTCTTGCCTCCGGGAAGCTGGAACATGAAACAGAAGGGATGAAATTTAGCAAGGGGGATGGAGAAAAGCTTCCCACCAGGTGGCACTAGCCTGTCACAGCTAACCTGGAAGCTGCGAGGTCCTGTTTTGGTTTTGGGATAAATCTCTCTGGGATTCTCATTTAATTTCCAGGTGCTGCCCTGACAAGTGGGTTTTAAAAATAGTGTAAAAGTTCCTAGTTGTTAGTCATTATACATGAGACTAATCCAGTGTACTAAATCATTTGTGCTGAATCTGGATTCTTGATGAGAGAGTCAGTGTGTCTGAACTCATTGCATATTATACTAGGCAAGTTTGAAACTGTTAAATGTTCTTGATGCAATTTGGGTTTAACTGTCGTCGCAAGCTCTGGCTCGTTACAAGTGCACTGAGGGCTGAAAAGCTAAACAACCTGACACGCCTCAAGCCTTGTGGAACCAGTAAATGATTCTGTCTTGATTTTGTGACTGCAATCAGGCTGTAATCCTCTTTTGTTCTCCATTGCTGTATTTTTTTCCTTTCCCTAAGGTGAGCTTCCAGGGTGTTTTGCAGTTGGTGAGAAATACAAGGAAAGGGAGATGTACATCCTTGCTTTAGCATTTCCTTCAAGTTTCCTTCTCTGGAGGTATCTGCTCAAGAATGGTTGTTGTTCTTGAGTAATTCCCCAGGTCCTCCTGCACTACTTTGTACTAGGAATAGATTCAAACCCCCCTGCAGCTGCTGCTTTCCAAATTGCTGTTTCTCTGCAAAAGCAGCAGGCTGGCTGTACTGAGCAGCATGTTTCCAGCACTTCAGCAAGGACTAACACCTGCTCCCTCCTGACCAAGAGGCTGCAGCTCTGCAAGGGTGGCTGGCTCATGCAGCATTAGAATGCTTTTTTTTTTAGATGCTTTTATCCATGTAGAAATCCAAGTGTCTGGACTGATTTGGACTAGGAATGGTGCCCTAGTGAGTGGCATTGGGTGCAGAGTGCTGTTGGGTGCCTGCTAGCAGCTAGGAGTGGAGGCTGAGCCATGCCCAAGATGTTGGCATCTTCTGGCTGCCATTCTGATGGCACTCTGCCTTGTAGTGCCTGTTGTGTTTGGGTGCTGTGGCAGTCTGTGCTTCCAGAAAAACGGGCATCTCACCAGCTCTAAGGACTGAGCGGGCTGTGATGTCATTTTTCCTTGGTAAACAGTAAGCAGCCAGACTGGGGTTCTAAAAGGTGGGGAGGGGAAACCCATTCAGGAGTTGACAGCATTACTGCTTGGCAAAGACGCCCTTAGTCTGAGCCTTAGTGAGGGGCTTGGGAAGCGTAACCTAGAGTTGGTGCAGGGTCGTCAAGCATTTGGCAGCTGAATCCCTTGATGCTGGATGAACTGAAGCTCTAATCTCGTGGGCAGGTCTCTTGCTGTTTGAGCTGTAGGGGTGTGTTTCTGTTCCTCCATGGGAGCAACCTGTCTGAGGGAATCCAAACTGGGAAATGTCTGGCATGACGGAAGTGTCCTACCTCAGTGCTTTTCCTGAACCTTGAAAAAGTGAGATCTTTTGCTAGACCTCTCCCCTCCCCTTCCTGTGATTTCCGCTGCCCAGTGAAGGACAGTGGCAGTACCAGAGGAGGGAGTTGGAACCATCCCTAGAACAGGGCAATTTCGCTGAAACTGGAGATGGCCTGGGTGACCTAATAAATCTGTTGCCTGGCTCCTTGGACAATGCAGGATTGTTTAGCGGGGCTCTTTGACCAGTCTAGTTTTCAATGCCTTAAGTGTTTTATTTTGCTACTTCACTTGGAAGGTTACTTGGGATCCCATTAGACCAGGCTGATAAATTTAGTCTGGTGTATTAATTGGCCTTTGCTCCCTCTGCTTCTGCACGGTGCTGTCTTATCCTCTCCCAGTAAAGTTCCCTCTTTGAAGCTCGCACCCTCCACCTACCCCTAGGCAATTGCTTTCCCTCCCTGACACCTTGGCACTCTCTCTTGGCTGGAAGAGAAAAGGATTTGGAAATGAGGGTACTGTACATTGTTGTTTGAACCCTTTACGAGGCTCTGCAACGCCACCTGCACTGCACTTCAGTGACTTTCTTCCACCATACAGAGCTATTCTGGGTACATAAAATCTAGCTGGGAAAACGGGGAGTGCTTGCTAGAAATCCCATGCTGTGTGCTCCGTGTTTCCCTGGTGTCTCATCAGGAAAAGCTGTTGGTACCCCCAGCGTGGGGCTGCAGGGCCGGGGCAGATGTACAGGGTGGATCTGCTTGTGGAGCAGGCAGCCCCTTTGATATGTGAGCTGCTTGTTTGGGATTCAGGCGCTTGCCAAGAGAGGGGCCACAGCAGCCAATTGTCAGTAGTTGCCTCACCTGAACTAATTACCCACCCTGGAAAGTACAGTTGATACTAATCATAGGTGCTGAGCCAAGCCTGTCCTCGGGGAAGCAGGGAGCTGCAGAGAGGCTTTCACAGAAATGAGAGGCTTGGAGCTGTGCCACTCTTCAGTGCCAGAGAGCTTTTGGGAGGAGAGCCTGCAGCCCTCCGGGCCTGCTTCTCTGCCCACTCTCCTGCCAAGGCTGGTGTGAAAATGGCGGTGGGAGCACTAGCTGAGCGGGGTTTAGAAGATGGAGCAGAAGTGCAGCTCTGCTGGTGTCTCGTGTTGCCAGAGCCTCGCGCTGCTTGGACCGCCCAGTGCAGGGGTTGACTGAAGCATCAGCGTGGCCGTGAGCAGGGGTCTTTTCCCCCAGCCAGCCCCTCTATAGTGTGGTTTGCCCAGGGGGAGGGCTGAGCTCTCCCTGTGGTGAAGTGTCACCCAGCAGGGTTGCAGGATCGCTGGCATGAGGGTGGTACCTGATGCATGGCAGACTCACAGGCTTGCTCTGCCCAGGCCTCCTGCCCTTCACCTTGCCCTTCTGTGCACCGCTGGAACTTTGTACACCAGGAGAGAGGAACAGTGAGCAGCAGTATCTGAACACATATCCAGACATCTCATTTCCTATTTGGAAAAGGAAACAGCATATCTAAAGCTGTAGTGTATTCATTGCATGGAAAAGCAACAGACAAAGTGCCCATCCAGGCCTGACTGCCAGCTACAGCCATCCCGGGCTGCTGGGAGACACAAGGCTGAGCGGGGCACCGCGGCAGGACTTGTCATCTTTGTCTCAGCTCTTTTTTCAATGATGTGTCTGAAAGTGGGTGAGTCTGAGCCCTGAACACCCTCATTAAAAGCTGCTTTACCCTGCATGCCATCCAAAGAGGATCAGTGGTTCTCACTTTTCTCTGTGTCTCTTCTTTCCAGTTCTTTCCCCTTACACATTTTCCTTAGGACTTTGGGGTTTTTAGTGGGACTGCCAGGCTGAGGTTTGGTTTTGCTGCCCATTGAGCCCATTGCTGGGGATGCCCAGAAAAGCTACAAGAAGTGTGGTACCTGAAGGAGGATCTGTCCAGGAACGGAAAATGGAGCTGCTAGCCCAAAACCAGGCTGCTGGGGGTGGCGGCCTGGGGAGGTCCCAGCCCTGGTCTGTCAGAGCAGGAGGGACTTTTTTTGTACAAATAGATGTCAGTGGGAATGATACCTGTGCTGGCTCATGTGCCAGGTACTCTGGAGACTGCTTCTCCTCCGTGTCCCACCACCCATTGCTGAGCCTCCATCGTGCTCAGGGCTTATTTAAGGCTCTGTGTGCTGCCTTGGTGTGAGAACTGCATAGCACAGACAGCACAAGGACAGCGAAGGAAGCTGGATCGAATGGCACATGACCTGCTTTGGTCAAGCCTAATTATGTAATTAAGATACTGAAACGGGAGCCTGAATATCTGAGTGCTCTTCCTAGTTTCGTCAAGAGCCTACAGTGTAACGTTGAGCATTTAGCTGTTCTGGGCTGCCGTGAGTGTGAGTACTGACACAGTGCAGTACGCAGAATAAAGCTGCTCCGGCACACGACGACTCAAATACGCAAAGCGTTTGTAAAATAGCCCCAGTAATGTGCACTATTCTCTACTTCACGTGTAACCTTTATTTAGAGTAGACACTTGGGTAGAGCTGAAAAAGGAACATG